TTTTAGCAGGGATTGCGAGAGCGAGAGGGAGATGAAATATCTGATGAGAAGAAGAGGATTCTCGCGACCTTAAGTAATCGTTGCGAACGTGCGGAGTGCTCACGAGAAAATCGCACCTGCCATTTGAATTTGACGACTTGGTCGCAGCGAAGAAGAGAGCGAGGAAGAGTATCGGATTGGATATTTGCACGTGAACAAATTAGTTTTGGGCTATGAAAAATTCAATTTGGGCTATATGAATTTAATTAAGGATTTCGGCCAACCATACTCAATCATTTGGGCTGAAAAAAATATTACATTGGGCTGGAAGTTAGAAGAGCTGGAAAATTAAATTCAAATGGGCCGAACAATACAACGTGATGACAAGAATTTCGATCGATGCGATAAACGATGATACACGACTTATAATATATATGTATATATATCACACAATATTTATTTAATAATAAGCAATTTATAACATTTAGACAAATAATAAGGATAATAATAATAACAATGTAATAATGTTAATCTCAAAATATTCATAAACAACCGTATAAATATATATATATATATATATATATATAGTACACATTTTATTTAATATTAATGTTAGGCAATTAGACAAGTAATGATAAATAAATACGCAATAATAATAATAATATGACAAATAATAACAACAATAATTAATCAGTAATCATTTTCAAATAATCCATAATCAAACGGGGTATTACAAAAATATTGTTATAAAACTAGAGGGGAAAGAGAATACGGAGAATGTATTCTCTGGCTACATTTTCATTACAACTAAAATTCACAATTATAGAAAAACTTGTGATGGTACAATCGTAGTAATACAATTATATCGGAAGCGAAATAGTCATTCATATATAGATATTAATTCATTTGTGTGGTTCTTAACAAATGTTTATTTTTTTAAGCATAAACAAGACTGTTTAATTTGTTTATTTGTTCATGAAATGAGAGAGAATAATATTAACTAAAAATAGTAGTGTTGACATCCGAGTTAACCATGAGAAAACCAGACAGAAACGACCCTAAAAGACGGATCGGGAACCCGGTCAGACACGACAAGTGCCGAGCTGAATTCCGAAGATTAATGATCAACACCATCATGGGAACAATCTTCGAGGTCGGCACCAGACCCGGCGAGCCCGGGGTGCCGGTCTCACTAGGTGCCGACCTAAAGAAAAGATCCTAAAGACTCACAGACGATATCTTGCTCAAGAGCCGACCTGGTGTTCCAGTCCGGTCATTCCGGGGATGAGCGCGGGGCTGGATAATACTATAATACTGCCACTTAGAGGGTAATCATTGGCAATTCGACAAGCCGTCATAGCCTACCACCCTATATCATCTAGCCCCGCCGCAAAGCCTGCCAGCATTTAATGCATCTCATGTGGGCATTAAATGTCTGACAGGTAATCATTAAGAAAACCTCAAATCGCATTAAATAACCATCAGAATGGCGCCGATCTGTCATGCAAGGATAATGTACAACAAGACCGGTGAACAATGCCTGAACAGTGCCACATTAAAGAACACTATAAATAGGAACCATCTTCATATATTTTGGGTTGTTGAATCCTCAACTACTCTGTCTTCTCTCTAAAACTTGTAATAAATCCTTGTAATAATTCTATATATAACGAAAGTGCCGACCTCGTACGAGAGGCCGACCTCGTAACTACGTAATAAAACATAATTAATCCATATTTTCCCTTTATTTCATGCTCTTTACTTTCATCAAACCTCATTTTAACTGTTGTTCGAACCAGTCCATCAACAGTTTGGTGCTAGAAGGAGGGCACCATAAGTTATTTGGTGTCAATGATTCGACTTTGTGTAACTCCACGTCGAACTCATCTTTTTCCCTCTTTTCATTCCTAAACTCACTCAAAAATGACCTCATCCGGCCATGACGACTCAACCGGGCAGTCCGGTGCACAGACTCGCCGACGCAACGGCGGGGAACCTCCCGCCTCACTCAATAGGGAATATAAGCCTCTGTTCCACCAGTCCCGTCCTTCGTTGCGGCCATCAGCATCCCGATGTCCTCAAGGCTCTCTAGGGGTCTTCTCAAAGTTACTAGCGAGCCAGGCAGCCAGGGGAAACACCGTGGCAGCCACGGAAAACCCCAGCAATACGCTGCTCCAAACCCCCGACAAGGAGGTCGGAGGACAGAGGAAGAAGCCGGCAAAGTCTAAAACCACGGAACATATGGGCGAAAGCCTCCCAAGATCGAGCCACCGAATCACTCGCCACTCCATTCACCAGCGCGACAGGGCTAACCACGACCTCAGGGAGGTCATCGAGCGGGGAAAAGTAGTTGGGCGCGACACAGACGAGGTTGCAGCCCTTAACCGAAGAATCGCCGAGTTGGAAGGTGGGCACAAATTCCAAGGGGGACTTTCACCTCTCCCCCCTCCACGGCCAACTCCCAGGGTTGTGGACCACGCTTCG